TAGGATCTGTATTATTTATGTCTCATTGCTTTCCCTTTCATTACAAAATAAACCAGACTACTAATCTGAGACACTGTACTTAATTATGGAAAAGAGGTATCTGACTAATACCTTTTTTAAAGCGCATGAAAAATGTCACTACCTATTCTAAGCAGGAGAGCCAAAAAGCTTGGCCTACTTTGTTAACCCAAAAGACACGTGAAAGCATCGTTTTGTATTCATCTGAAAAATAATTTTTATAACTGTGTATTTGCACGGAATTCACAAAACTACCAAGAAATTTATTTTTCAAATGAAATGTCCATGGCCTGTAGAGTAATTCAAACAGGTGTTAATTAGGTGTACGGAAAGGCCATTGAGGATAATTTATATATCCCCCTGCAACAGAAAAAAAACGATTAAATGTTAATTGCTTGTATTATGCAACAAACGATTTTTTAGGATGGCACTAAATTAGCTGCAAATATTATAATTACAAAGCACTGGGTAATTTACTAAAGATTAATTGAAATGATTAAGTGCAAACTGCATAATTGTGCAAGGTAATATTAATGCCTTCTGCACAGAAATGAAAAAAATAGTGGCTGTTACTGGCTATTTAGTGAAGAACTTTCATGCACCGCATGAAAGCATCTGTGGCATCTCTCTTGTGCACCCTTCCCTAAAAAAGGTTTTACGTGGTTTTGGGGACAAATCATTGTAATGCTAATAGTAACCAGAATGTCTAAAACAGCCTATTTCGGAGATTGAGTCTACTCTCAATTACATGGGAGCAGCACAAAAATATTGCTCCATGGTCGTCTTCTTCTTCGAGAGCTGCAGCAATTGCAGATGTTTACTGTAGAAGTACTTAAGCAACAGCACATGTAATTTGAATACATTCTTCATAATCAAAAAAAAAAAAAAAGAAAAGGAGGCATACCTTGAGCAAGAGTTGAAAACATCACTAGAGAGCAATAGTTTCAGTTCACCTTCCTGAATTCAGTGCAACAGTCTCTTGCATGCAGGCTTCGTATTGTGCTGTATGGAGGTGGAAGGGGACAGTGATGAAGTGGGACAGGGGAAAGGGAACTGAAACATTGTTCTAGTCCAGGAGGGATTTCTTTTCTAGCAGTATTCTCCATTTTAAATGCAAGGGGGCAATTTATCCTCTCTAAACCAGCATGAATTTTAAACATGCTTTCTGTCTTGGCCACTATTTTTTTTTTTTTTTGGTATCTTAATACTTAGTACCACTCAAGTGTAGCTATTTAGGGAGTGACAGTGCAAACTAGAAGAGAACTCAGTATTGGGAGTAATTCTGGACTTCTGGGGCAATGGGAGGAAGACATTACCGTGTTCTTTTTGACTGAGGCATGTCCCAGCTATAATGCCATTGAGTGGCAGATCTTTTACTTTTCATTAACACACATGCCATACGTCATTAAAAGAAGAATCACGGACAGCGAAATGTTATTTTCATTTATAAGTAGCTCAGATGCTTTTTGCTAGTTGTAATATTAGCACTCAGAATGGTATAACAGTCAACATGCAAGATACATTTTAAGAAAAGTCTTACTTGTGCAGACTGCAATGTACCCCCATGCAGAGGCACGCGGGCAATACGTACATCAATTAACTCCTTCTTAAACAATGGTGAGGCCTTGCACAGACTCTCAATACAACACTGAAATCCCCTCGCTGCCATGCCTGTTATGAAATTGTGACTGTCATTTCAGTCAAACCTTAAATCTGTTTAATGTAAAGAGCTCAGTTTAGTCCCATAAGGATTTCTGGAGTCTTGTCCTACTTGCTATCTCACTTTAATGTGCGTTTCAGCTCCTTGCACTTGAATAGGTCTTGCTGTAAGCTAAAAGGTCTTGCTTTAAGCTATGTGCAGTGTTGAATAGGTATGGCTCAGTAACTCCGGGCAAAAAGACTCATCTAACATTAAAAAAAGACTGTGGACAAAATCCATTAGCACGATATTGAGAAGACTGACTCTGGATTAGAGAGTCAAAGTTAAAATGATGGCACATGTGCAGTCTTGACAGCTGAAGGAAACAGGGATATATTAAATGCAGATCTGATTTAATGATCAAACAGATGTGAATCTCACAGCCAAACAGCCATGCACGCAACCTCTGAAGCAAAAGCAGCAGGACATTATTATTTGCATTGCCCTTATCAAGCTCTGACAGATATTTGTACCTCAAAAGGTTTATTACTGAGCAAAAGATCAGAATCACAATTCCCTAAGCAACAACAAAGTACCTGGTGTACCTGAAGACTGGGTATCACATTAGCAAGATGCAAGCTAGAAAAAAAACACAAGGCTGAAAATTAGAGGCCAGATTCTTTAGAGCATCCATATTGCAAAGAAAGTGCACTTCAGATCAGGTGCCAGTAAAGTTGCCTTAAAGTGCAGTTTCTAGATTTTCTTCCGCTCTTT